GAGAAACAGATTGAACAGTGCACCGAAGAAGAATTTGAGAGTGCTATTGGTCTCAAATGAGCTGTGGTTTTTATCCGTGTTTGTGAGGATGGAAATTTGGAAACCCTTCCGCAGGACCCTTCCGCATGCTTCCGCGGGCCTCAATTCGCATACCGCTTCCGCGGATCCCTTCTGCAAGGGTTGCTTCGCTGAGTTTGCGGGGCTTGCTTCCGCAAGTGGGGGCTCACGTCTTGAAAATGCTGTTTGTTTGGGCAAACCACGGGTACAACTTCAACCACCAAGAAAGGATGCAAGCTTACATAAAGCGCGCGAAGACACAAGCAAGCACATCGGAAGAGGCTAAAAATTGTGTGGCTTTCGGCTTCGGCTTGTAAACCCTTGGGCCCTTGGGGGTATGGTGAAATTCGGCGGGTTTCCAATCCATAGTTGCAGGTAAGGCATTCAGGGTACGGAATTTGGGTTTTGCGTTCGGTTTCCAATGCAACTTCCTGTTTAAGGCCCTGCATGGGGGTATTGAATTTCGGCGGTTTCCAATGATTGGGTCTAAGGCCTTCGAGGTAGGGAATTTCAGCGCCGCTTTGCTTTCAACGGTTTTCAATCCCAGATCCGGTTTAAGCTCTTAAGGGCTTGGGATGATCAATTTTTAGGGTTCCACCTTCCGCGGAGCTTCCACGGACCTTCCGCGGCGCTTCTGCGCACGTCCCCTATCATCCTGAAAAGTTTTGCAAATGATGATCACCATCATGATGATGCAGATGTGCTATTCGTCGTTACCGCTTGACTACGGTTAAGTTTGCAAACACCCGTGAACAACTATATGGACATGGCAAAATGCATGATAACAATGAGCGTGGTGGTGATGCTGAGAATGATTTGCTTCTTACAACGACCTGGAGCCTGCAATCCTCCCGGAATGGCCTTTGGGATATCTGTGACGTATCGTAAGGTGGAACTTCCGCGGGACCTTCCGCGGACCGATTGCTTCCGCAGAGCTTCCGCGTGCTTCCGCGCACACAGTTCCGTGCAATTTTCTTCGGCTGAAACCATTCATATTTCCAGGCCTACTCATAATGAAAGAAGCGCGGGTTAAGCGTTGGAAGTCTGACGAGGAATTGAGCATGCGATTGGTTGCACAAGGTTGCTACCAGGATGTTTCAGCATTGGAACCAGATTCGGTGTTCGCGAGCACACCATTCTTGGTCACACTTCCCCTATTGCTCATCATGTCCATTGCACGTGGTTGGACTATCACATTGGCAAACATCTCAACTGCGTTTCTGCACGCAGCCATGAGTGACATTGTCTTTGTTCGACCACCGATTGAGTACTATCCTCTAGGCCCAGATGGCAGGCCACCATGTTTGTGGAGATTAAACAAAGCTATGTACGGGTTGAAACAGAGTCCTAGATTGTGGCAGGAACATTATGCTTCGGTTATGAAATCATTGGGATTCAGGCGCTGCAAATCTGATCCTAACTTGAATTGCCACTCTAGCCGACAGCTGTATGTATTGGCCTATGTAGATGATCTTCTGATTGTTGGCGAATCGGCAAAGGCCAAAGAGTTCATTGAGGCACTGAACAAAGAGCTTCTGGTCAAGGTAACGGCCAAATTGGAGACTGGCACTGAAGCTAGTTTTCTTGGCCGTCGACTGCGTCACAGTGGTGACAGCCTCGACATATTCATGCCACAGACATTTGTGGATGAGTTTCTGTCATTGTACGACATGAAAGCAAGCAATTGTGTTAGTACCACGGGTACTGCCTCATTGAAGCGTCTTGAAGATTCTGATCAAGCATTGGACAAGACTGAACATGCCAAGTATCGAACTGCTGTAGGCAAATTGCTTTGGATGGCTCTTGTTCGCCTAGATTGTTCCTTTGCAGTGAAAGGAATTGTCTCGTGACGTTAAGGGACCGACTCAAGAAAGTTTGTCCAGATTGAAGCATTTGTTGCGCTACACTTCCGGTACGCGCACCACTGTGCTTCGATTGCGTCCTACGCAAACTCTTGAGGATTGGCGCTGTGCCATAGACATCACTTGTTACGTAGACAGTGATTGGGCTGGTTGTCACAAGACTCGTCGCAGCACTAGTGGTAGTCTCGCGCAGGTTTTGGATTGTTCTGTCATTCATACCTCACGTACGCAGGCCACAGTTGCATTGTCTAGCGGCGAAGCCGAACTTTACGCCATTGGCCAAGGCATCAATGAAGCATTGTTTGTGAAGAACATCATATTGGAGGCTGAGTTCGCAAGGAAGGTGAACATTGTAGCGTATACAGACTCGACTGCTGGAAAGTCCATGGCCACGCGCTTTGGCGCTGGTAAGCGGTCGAAGCACGTCGAATTGCGCTTTTTTTAAATGCAGAATTTGATTTCTGCTGGATTGCTTCAATTGCGCAAGATTCATACGTCCTCGAACCCTGCTGATATTATCACGAAGTACAACTTTACTGAGATTCTGAGTAACCGGATTGGCAAGATTGGGTTGATTCGGAATCATTTCCGCTTGTGATTTGTTTGCATTGTCTCACCCGCCCGCGTCCGCCCCTTAAACCTATATACAAACATTGTCTCACGCGCGGACCTTACTCTCATTGCCTCGGTTTCGTTCAACGGACCGTGTGGTGATGATTGCATGAAAAACAGAAAGGAGAGAGAGAGAGAGAGAGAGAGAGAGAACGAGAGAGAGAGTGATGAGAGAGAGAGTGATGAGAGAGAGAGTGATGAGTGAGTGAGTGATGAGTGAAGAGTGAAGAGTGATGAGTGAGAGTGAGAGTGAGAGTGAGAGTGAGAGTGGGAGTGGGAGTGGGAGTGGGAGTGAGAGTGAGAGTGAAAGTGAAAGTGAGAGTGAGAGTGAGAGTGAGAGTGAGAGTGAGAGTGAGAGTGAGAGTGAGAGTGAGAGTGAGAGTGAGAGCGGAGAGAAAGAGAGGGTGGAGAGAAAGAGATATTGCAGATTGCAGCAACATGTCAACAGTCTTGTGCTTGCAAGTGATTGCGACAGTACACGTCAGATTGAATTTTCTCTCGCATTTCTTCGAAATTCTCGTTTCGGCATTGTTGCTCATTTCTTCACATTGCAAACCAAACCTTCGGCGGGTCTGTACGGAATTGATTGCGCTTTGAATCCTTGCATTGAGTTCACGTTGATTGTGATTGCACGCGGTCATTGCATTTCTCTGCAATCCAGATTGTAGTGTTCTGCGCCATTGCTGATGGAGGCACCATTGACCTTGGAAGGTCATTTTCATTGGTGCGCTTACGCATCTCGCATTGAAGACGAAGACAAGGCGATGGATCGCTCGCCTGCATTGCTCTTCAAACCTCCCCGAACTTGGAAGGAGGAACATATTGTGCGGCAACATTGGCAACAGCATTGTGACCTCTGCAATTGTGAATGCACTGTTCAGAACAGACAGACCATTGTATTGTCCAATGGCCGCCTGATTGAACCGACTCCAGAGACATTGTTCCAAGCTGAACATTGGGGAACGCGCAACGTCGAACGCATGATCGACATTCATGAAAGGATTGTCAAGGCATTGACTCCGTCGAATTGGGAGCTTCCAGGAACATTGAGCCTCGAGACTTTGGCATTGTTTGGTGAATTCCTCGCCGATCAAATTGAGGATTGTCGTCAAATTGGCTCCATGGAAGATTCGACCACAGCGATTGGTGTCAATGGGAAGAGATTGTTCGGGGGTCGATTCCTGGATTGGCGAACAAGCTGATCTTCCCACCGATTGGCTGGATTGATTCTCAGACAGAACGATTGGGGGAAATTGCCAACCTGACCGAAAGCAGATTCGAGCTGATTGCATAGGGTCTGCCCATGCCGGGGCTTGCAGTAGCCGTCCTAGCTCTTCGTAGCAGGCGCCACTGCGAACATCGCTTTGTGACCGAAGAGCCCCACGCAGAAGCGCTTGGGGGTTTTCCGGCCGGCACGAGTTGGAAGTGAGCATGTCCCAGGCACAGGACTAGCCGAGCAACGACGGTGAGCTAACAAGCAGTAGCGCACGACAACTCTCCTTTTTCATGGATGTGGCATAAATCCCAGTTAGCCTGGAGATTGTCGCTAGCCTTTGGCTAGCCCTCCCCAGGGTGGGTTGGGTGGGTACTTCAAAATTACCCCCCCCCACGGGGGACTTTATCCAGAATGGCCACGGAAGTGTACAAGGTTCCTCGCCATTCCAAGTCAAGCTATCCAAGTCTTGCAAGCTGGCACACACAGCAAGAGCAATAGATAGCAGTAGAAACTTCGTTTCTAGCCGAAACACCTACGATGGTTTCGGTGGGAAGATTATCGGGCTAGCACACATAGTCGTAACTCGTTCCTCGTCACGAGATACGTGCACTAGCCCATCTAGCCCACCACCATCCCCACGCCCCAGGACGATACGACAATTAATGTCTTTTGCAACCAAGCCGTCGTTGACCGCTGCGGTGCAATCCTCAATCCAAACCTTACCATCAACATAATCGCCAAAGCCCACAATGAGGTTGATGCTGCGCTGTGGAATCTCGTTAATCCATGTCTGGTGCATGCCATGAGTGGGCTTCGAACTGCTTTACAGCTCTACAAGACGGCATGCTCATTTAGCATACGTCAATTCAAGTACTACATTAGCAAAACTCGCAAGTGGAACGTCAACACGGTCATGCAAAACAGAGCTGGGTTTCTCAGCCCGACATGCGAGATGAGGCTTGCCGAATCATGTGTGGAATGTCAGTGTCCGCAATGCAAGCGTGGAGAGGATTCCTGAGGCTCCCACAAATCTCCAGTCCACCTCGGCAGGTTTCATGGGGTTGCCGAGCTTTGCCACACAGACAGCTGTACAAAGACAGCACCAGAGAAGCATCCTCCATGTCAAAATGACATGGAGGGAGCTCTTTGCGCTGAGCTCCCGGGCGGGGCTCAGCGATGAAAGCTGAACCAAGTGAGCCGAAAGTGACAAGCACAAAATGCACGAAAAAGGGTACGTCGAGCACATGGCATTTTCAAGCGTGTGCATGTTGATTACGCGTCTCTTGAGCAAGACGGCGTTTCTGTCTAAATCCGTCAACAATTGCCATATTTGTCAAACGCTTTACCCCTTTGGGGAACTTGCGAGACCTTTCCAGCACATCCGGATCTGTCTTGAAGACAGAGGCCGCCGACTGCTTTGCTCGCTTCTCATTCGGCATCACCTGTGGGGCGGGCAGACTGCAACAGCGCACCACCGGGATACGGCCATAACTGTTTCCCTGCGTTGTTTTGGCAGTTTTCGGACAAAACAAAAGACGTCGACTCGGCCTCTCCCTCGTAGGTCTTGCTAAGGCTCCAGGCAGGCATTCGCAGAGTAGCCTGGAAGCCCGCACTTGTCCGCATGACCTCATAGAAAACCTCCTTGGACATATCATCCACGCCAGTCAAGCACCTGAATCACTGGAGACGACCAGCACAGCAAATGAATGCATTCCGTTTGCTTCCTACCCAAAAGATTGAACTGCGAAATCAGCAGGGTACCTGGCAAAAACATTGACTGCCTCCAGCTCGCCTTTTTCCTCCAACTTGAGGTCGAAGTAGTACTCCCCGCCTGGATCTGCATGCGGCTGCGTTGATCTTGGTCTCGGCGTCTTGGGAGGCGTCGAGCTTGATCGTAGTCGTCGTGACTGCGAAGATGGAGGAGAGGTTTTGTCCTTCGGTATAGAAGAACCAGCTGCAGCTTTGCTCGAGCTGCTGGAGTGGCTTGCCGCGGGTGGGCAGCCGACTCGGTACGCTGCTGTTGGCATATGCGGCATAGTCGTCTGTGCTGTCTGTGCTGTCGTTAATGCTGCTCGCTCTGCCTGAAAGGACTGTGCATGCGTGCAAGTCTGGCATCTTTCGGTGTGAAATGCGCATGGCAATTTGATTCTCCACATGGCTACGAATTCCTCGGGTTCAGCGCATGTCAAAGCCGACCAGCCCCTCAACTCCTCAAGGCTGTAATGAAATCCCAACATAAACGCTGCATCCCGAAATCTGCACGTCTCCTTTCAACTTCGATATTCGAGCCGCTTCGAGGGGGAGTATAGGACTGCAAGCCCGGAGTTAATTTAAGCATGCTCACAAGGGAAGCTGCAATCAACAAAGAATTACAATGGCACGCAGATACCTGCGTGCACACACTGCGTGGAATCTGACAGTGGCAAGATGCTGGTCCGAGCCCCTGAGCCGGACAGACAACACCCAGAATTGGGCAGGACCCAATCGGTAGAGAGCGGATATAAAGGAAGGAAGCAGCTGACTCTCCTCGTGTAACCATTCCACGGTGGTTTTAAGGCACAGGCTGAGCCATGGAATGTATCGGCACTGGAGCACCCAGAACGAGCGAACTGATGCCTGCATCGACAGACCTCGAGCGAGCTCAGCTCGCTGAACGAACGAGCAAAGGCCATGCCAGGCACTCAGGCGCGGACTGAACAACTAGTGCACTGAAGCCCAAGTAGGCAAAGCCATGCGATGCCGACCTTTGCTAGCATGACTTTATGCGAGCCCATGCAGTGCATGCCGCCTCAAACTGGGTCTCCAGCGTCGTCCCCAATACGCACGGTCGAGTGCCTGAGCGTGCGCAAAGTTGTTTCCAGATTTACTAAGGAACATGAGCAGAACAGTGGACGGTACGGAGGAGGAGGAGGAGGAGGAGGGGGAGGAGGAGGAGGAGGAGGAGGAGGATTCGCTTTTAGCATCCATGAGGCTGAAGGAAGATTAGGGCAGAGGCAAGACTGCTCTCCAGAGGCATCCCCAAAACAGCTCAGCAACAAAAATATACACCGGCGCTTTCATGACATGTCCTGTCGGCGGTGTCGGCAGTGGGCTCTCAGAGTAGAATCCTCCTCGAACAGGCCATCATGACGTCGGGCTGATGTTTCCGGTACCGATCAACAAGGGATGTTGCAGATGACTGAGACTACTTGCCTCGTTTGTGCAAAAACGGTTGACAGCAGTAGTCGTCGGAAACTGAAAACGGAGGCGCGAGTGGGAGAAAGTCGCAGGAGAGAAGGAGATGCATGGAGATGCTGAGCAATCGTCGCGGGGCCGGGAGTCCAGGAGGAGCCCTGCTTGCGAGGCACCGGAAACAAGCCCAGCCAGTCGCGGCAAAAAACAGGAAACGTTCAGCAGCCGAAGTCTGCAGAAGGACTCAGCCAAGTTGACTGCAGCGTCTTGGGCTCAAGCTTCGAAGCTATCGATCCCGGCCTGAGCATTTCCCGTTAATTGACGTTAACAGTTTGCCGTCAGAGCCTCATTCCTTCTCTGGCCTGGCCAAGCCCGAGTGGAGCAGGGAACCCGGACCACAATGACCTCGGCCGGAAGGGACTTCGGGAAATCCGAAGTAGGGTCCTCACTGTTCAGTGCTGTCTGAGCTACACCAGAGTCGATGAAAAGCAGAGACTCCATGCCTGCCATCATCTCCAGCACCACGTGCGGCACTGCACGCAGCGAGATTCACCTCGAAGCGCTTCTTGGCGGCAGCGCTGACCTGAACGCGAGTTACACTAGGAGGGAGCTGCCTGGCCTCGCTGCTGCTCCATTCTCGAGAACTTTGAATATTCCCAGGAGCCACAAATCAGGGACCACCGATGGACACGTCACGAAACAAACTTCTTCAGCGCTCGACCCGCAGATGCTGCCCAAGCATGAAGCCGAGAACACCTTGGGCGCTTCACTGCTGGGCCCCAACTCATATGGCTGAAACTTCACTCAGGTGTGAGCGGCTGAACGTTCACGGCGCCTGGGCCCCGGGCTACACAACGACGGCTCGGGACTATCAGGGCTGAAGAAACGACTGGCCACTCCTATCCTTTACTCTTTGCAGTCCAAGCGCCAGGGTTGACGACGCGGAATGGCCATCAGGAATGGCCGAAATGTGCGGAAACGAAACATACAAAGAGCGGAGCAAATGCAGCTGGCAGCTGTACGGAACGGATGTGCCAGTGTCCGAGCTGGCTGATCCATGTGCTCTGAGGGTGAGATCCGTTCGGAAAAGCTAGTGTCAAGGCACAGGCAAGCCTGGAGATGTGACACCATCAGCAACAGTGGCAGCGGCACCCGAAACACGTCAGGGCCAATCCCGGCCACCCGACATTACGCAATGACAGAAGGCTGTTGATCTGTGTCAGACCTGTTGCAGGCAAAGTCAGCGACCCACTCTTCATATGGAGAGAAGAGCCAGTCAAGCGAAGCAAGGCCTCGGGTCGAAGCAGCTGGGCCAAGAGCTTCGCTTCCCAAGACGACAACCCATAAATCCAGGGGCTTCACATCAAGGAAGAGGGAGAGCGGATGCCTTGCTTTCAGAGCAGTGGTAAGTCTGACAAGTTAAGCGCTGACATCAGTCGACTGCGAGGTGCTTCGAAGGAACTGGAAGTTCCGTGCCTGCATTTGAAACGACACCGGCTCCAGTTTGCCCCAAGTGTGTGGCAAAGTCCAAACCACACACGAGGCCGCACAGCGCAAGCTTCTTTCTGGCAGGCAACGCCCAAAGTCGACAGTTGGAACTGGGCATGCGCAGGTGATTTCGCTGGCGAAGGTGCCTCGAAGCTGCCGAAGCGGGCCGCGAGAAGCTGCCAAGAGAAGAGGACGCCTGCAACAGTACAAGCGAGTTGAGGCGAAAGGCTTGAAAGGCCGTCTCAGAGCTCTGCGGCAACCGCATAGTTCCCGATTTGGGCTTCCGATTGTTAAGGAGCCGCAATCCAAGCAGCAGGTGGTTGCCACGAGAGCGCCAGCCTGTGAAAAAAACGTGCTTTCTCAGTTCAAGAACCCAAACAGGTCAGGTCGCAAGCCGGAGGCGTCAAGCCAAAGCAGGTAAATGCTCGGAGCGATGCAAGCAGCTCGGACTGGATGAGGTCCGAAGCAAACGTCGAAGATTCGAAGCAGGTCACACCGCACGCTGGCATAGGCGAGCCCAGCCTAGCGAAGCTGTCAATTGGCATCGGAACGAAGCATCCAGCATGGAGAACGAGGTGCGGCCGATCCGGCCGGCTGCACAGAGTCCGGGACAGGCAGAAGTCCAGACCTTGCCATGCTGTAGTGACATGCCACAGGCAGATGGTGGCAAACCCGGACAGGCAAGCGCCTGCGGCATCAACGGGCTCCCTATCAACAGGAAGTCCCAAGGTAAGTGTAATGCCATAAGCAGGTAGCATCGAGTCAGTACAACAGAAGCCGTGTGAGGAAGGCAAGAAGCCACGAGAAACAAAGTCCACAGTCAGCGATGGTGAAACGGGTGGTGTAAAGCCATAAGCAAGGGGTGTAGGCCCAAGTCTTGCATGAGTCTTGTGGGAGGAATGGGAATGCAGAAAGAGTGGGAAATCCTTGTGCACAAAGTCCAGCACAAGCAGAAGGGAGCCAGGTCATGTCATGCCGCAGGTCAGCATGGAGGAACCAAGCCTCCCAAAACCCTTCAGCGAGAGGGAGGCACTGCAACGCTGAGGCACTTCAAGTTGTGATGAGGACCGTGAGAGCAGCAAAGGCTGCATGCTGAAGTCAAGAATCAAAAGCGATGAGTCCAGGCGAAGTCCAAACCCTGGAGATGGCTCGAGCAGGCATGAGTAAGGGGTCAGAGACTGACAGCTTTGGGCCAGTTCAAGCATGACTGCGATGGCATGACGCTTACAATGTGAAGAAAGTTTTTCTATATGGAGAAAGGGCACCCGAGGATCAACAGCACCGCACAGACCAGCTGCTGTCGGGCATCACCCATTTGCACCGAATTCCATGGTTGTAGATGCATAGATGGTCGAATAAGTTCATCAATCCCCAGAGAAACCTGTCGCGCCAGCAGCGGCGTAGCAGTATCCAGGGAGCCAATCCGATTTTGGCAGGGGAGCACACACATGCCAAGAATGCAAAGTCGACAATCAGGAACTTGCGGGATTGCATGGAGGCATTGGCTGGAAGCAAAGAGCCTAGATGCAATGTTGCCTTGATGAGGAGTCCGTTCCAACAGCTAGCCAACACATCACCGGCCTCCATTTCCAAAAAGTCCAATGTGGAAGTAGAGACGGCCGAGGCACTTCAAGTTGTGATGAGGACCGTGAGAGCAGCGAAGGCTGCATGATGAAGTCAAGAATCAAAAGCGATGAGTCCAGGCGAAGTCCAAACCCTGGAGATGGCTCGAGCAGGCATGAGTAAGGGGTCAGAGACTGACAGCTTTGGGCCAGTTCAAGCATGACTGCGATGGCATGACGCTTACAATGTGAAGAAAGTTTTTCTATATGGAGAAAGGGCACCCGAGGATCAACAGCAACGCACAGACCAGCTGCTGTCGGGAATCACCCCTTTGCACCGAATTCCATGGTTGTAGATGCATAGATGGTCGAATAAGTTCATCAATCCCCAGAGAAACCTGCCGCGCTAGCAGCGGCGTAGCAGTATCCAGGGAGCCAATCCGAGTTTGGCAGGGGAGCACACACATGCCAAGAATGCAAAGCGGCGTCGTCCCCCGTACTGATACTGGAGCATCCAATTCCTGAGTGACGGAAGGAAACGTCGAAGTCAAAGATCCCAAGCCGACCCTCTCTCGCGCGGTATGGCTCTGCTGCTACCTCTTTGGGGTTCCACCTTTTTCGGTTTTCGTCATGACAGGAATCCAACCCCCATCAAATGAGCCTACCCTCTCTCACACACACACACACACGCACGCAGCATTTCGTGAAATCGCAGTCGTCTTGGTGCCACACCAGATCCTCCATGACTTGTGCGTGTTGCCTGCAACTGAGGACGTTGGCATGAGGCAACCAGTCCACTGAAGCCCTGAGCCAAAAACAAACGAGCCTGGGCATTCCAAGTCTTCGGAAATCAGCGTACTTGGCCTTTGAAGACCAAAACTCAAACCATCTTCGAGCAAGGGGACACAAGGTGCAGCCTGGCCCTCTGGATGTCTTCCGGCTTCCTGCTTGGAAAACTGGAATCATGTGCGCCCTTGAAGGTAGTCCGGAGACTTCGAGGCTAAATCTGCGAAGTCTTGGATCTCGAAAGCCCACCCACAAGAAGATCGATTCAAATTGACATACTATGCTCACTTAAAACTTTAGGAAAGATAAGGACCGAGCCAGGGTTGACCACCTCCGCTTTGGAGGCCTGCACATGGCAGACATGCTTCCATGCTCAGGGTCGCCTGAGGAAGAGGTCCAGGCGAAGGAGCCATCACGAAGCATGAGAAACATCTGTCGATCTCTTGCCACGGAAGGCTGTAATTGTACATGAAAGGTGTGCCCCAACCTCATCTTGTAGGCATCCCACATGTGTTAAAGGTTTCGGCGCCCTTTGCCCGTGATTAACAAACTTGGCACCCTACATGAAATACATCTTGTTAAACAAACGACCATGCATGCACGCTTCGGTGGCCTTGCGGAGCTGCATGGACCAGTCCAATATCGAGTGCATACACCCCACGACACTTGACACTGTTCTGAACACAGCATCGACTGTTTTCAAGGAACAACCCTGCTTTATTTCGACGGTCCAGGGACAACATGCATCCTCGAAGCAAGTGCCGCGACTCCACACATGTTCAACATTTCACGAGCAAAAGGGTTTTTACTATTGCGAAAATATGACAAAGCATCGCAACGTGGAGCCAAGGTCACCCAACGGACTGTGTTAATGCCATAGTGTTTGCATTAGCCACAATGCACCCACGTTGCTGCAACTCAACTCTTGGAGTTGTCAATAGAATGTCATTCGTCCCATCGCCACACTGTGGCACTGGCTATTCCGGCTATTCCATTCTCGAAAAAACCCGGCAGATGCTGCGAGGAGCCTTCAGACAGTTCGCGCAGTGCAACCAAGGGATTGCTCAAACGTGTTCCGGGTAAAACGTTGAATGAATAAAAATCCCAAACACAGATCTGCAACAGAATAAAGCACTGAACAACAGTTCGCCTCGGCCCCGGCCGAAGCGAGCGGATACGGATTCCTTCTATCCCTGCTTGACCCCCACCCCTCCTCTGTGTGAACCTCTGAATAGCCCCAACGTTTTACGGTCTACTTCCCCCCCCCCCCGGCCCCCGCCCCCCCCCCCCTTTCCTTCCAATAATTGTCAACTTTTTGGTTTGCGAACCCTGCTCACTGCCCAGAAGCCCCCGAACCCTTACACACACTCCCCGCCCCCCATTGCCCACGTATGCCTTCCTTTCGGCGTTAGTTAACAGCATGGTAAATGAAGAGTCGATGATAAATCTGATGAATGGGTCAGCCAGCTTGGCCAAAAACCAGCCCCCGCCAAACTGCGGGGCGAACAGCCGCTGCCCCCACCACACCCCACCACCTAATCCCTCCCACACCCCCCCTTCTCTGCGGCGCTGTGCACCTCCACCAGACCAAGCCTGCGGCACTGGAACACCCGCTGCCCACCGCACCCCAACCCGCCCGACCTGCGGCGCTGGAACAGCCGCCACCCAGCTGCCACACCCCCACGCCCCCCCCCCCGCCACCAAAAAACCCTGGAAAAAAAAAAAGTATGCATTCCTATCGCCAAGGCTTTTTCCGATTAAAGCTGCGCCGGATAGGAAGGCACCCCGTGGTATTTTTCAATATGCTTTCCTTTCGGGGGGGTCCTATAATACTTACGTATATACAGATAAGCATGAAGCATAATACATATAACAGAGTCAACACCAAACATAGAGCATAAACATCAAAGTTGCCGAAATCGGAGACTCCGCAACCCCGTTTTTTGATGGCTGGAAACCCGAAATGCAACCGGTTCTAACTGAAACCGTGGAAGCTGCGACCCCTTTTTCGACGGCTGTGAAATCCAAAATCAAGCCCGAAATCAATTCGTCCAATGGTTCCCCTATCATCCCTGTCCAAAATGTGTAGATGCTCCGGAGTGCGACAACATCGCGTTAGTGAAAGCACGTTTGTCGCGTTTGGAGCTCCAATCGTTGGACTGAGCCGTTTTCCTCTTGGCAGAACCCTTCAACTGCCGAGATCTCGCTCAAACTGGATCAGACTTACCCCCCTCTTTTGCAGTTGCTCTAATCAGCCTGGAATAAGCTCTTTCAAGCTCTCCCTTATGCACTTATGCAGGGTGTGCAACCATGACCAAATCAGAAACCGAGCGGATTCAAGGTTCGAAGATGTCGCATGTGTGAGGCCTAGTTTGGAACGGTTCATAACTCGACGTCAAAGCTCACAGGACGATGGCTAGAATGCTTTTCCAAACTCTACAACTGCTCCGAACTGCAGCACATTGCGATTCTGAGGCCTCGTCGCTGAGCTCGTGATATGAACATTTTCAATCTAGGCCTCCCAAAAGCTTCATGCCTTGAATCAGCTCCTCCTATGATTTCCTACAGCCCGGCAGGGCCTCGACTCATCCTTCTCTGGATGCCCGACACCAGGGAGTGGGCGAGCAAGTAATCTCCTGCCAGGTGCGCTGACTGCATATTCCAACAAACCTCAACCCGCAAGCCGAAACAAACCGCAGTTTGTGGAAAATCGCCTTTTGGGCTGTGAGTTCCCGACGCGCGCGCTTGGCCGCCTGCAAGAGCAAAAGAGAAGCCCGGCCAAGTGGAGTTTGCGGCCCTTTGCGGAGCTCGGCACCTGTTGCTTTCGGGTCACCAGAGCGCCGAGGGTGTTCCCGGAGCGCGTACGCATTGCACGCATTATGACACACATGACACCGAACTGAGGAGCCGGCGACGGTAAGCTGTGCCAAGTGGGCATCGCCTCGAAAATGCAGTGAAGTCTACGAACAAGGCTTCGCCTTCGCCCTCTCTGCAGGCCAGTGCTGGGCCAGTGCTGGGCCAGCGCTGGGTCCCGGGACTCCAAGGATGTGTGGAGACTTCGGTGCGGACCGTGCCGCCGACACTCCTGGCAAACAAGAGCACCCTGCATCAAAGTTTGAGAGCACGGAAAGAAACAACAACGTGGTGTCCTCAATTGTCCTCACGAAGGTCGTAGCCGCCGTAGCCTTCAGCTCTCGCTCTGCTCTCAGCTCTCCACACTCGAGGCGATGCGGGGGGCCGGGCCGGAGCCCCCCGTCAAAAAGCGCTACCCTGCACAAACGCCGTACGCTCCAGGCTCGGTCCGTTGGTTGGGCCCGTGCTGCGGCGAAGCGTGTCTCGCCCCCCCGTCGTCGAAGCAGACCATCGTCTGAGATTCAGGAGGACATAGGGATGGTCGCGAAGGAGCAGCTCCACCTTCCTGGCTGAGAACATTGCAGGCATCTCATTCTCAAGGAAACGACTTTGGTGTGGGCTTTTTCCGACATCTACTTCAAAGAAAAGCAGGGCGTGCATGCACACTGCACTCTGCCTCTTGCAAAATGCTGCCAGCCACTGCGCTACCCAGCTCTGCCAGCCTAGGCAGCAGTCGGGACCGCTGTAGGGTGTTCGGGTTCAGGGCTTTTCTGCCGAGCTACATCTTCCTTCGTGAAGAGCTCCGAGAACTTGAACTCGCCTCTGCTGCTGCGGCTGGTGTATGCGTGAAGCTTACGTCTATACGAATCACCGCGGACCTCACCCTTTCAAGCCTCGCCGTCTAAAGGGAGGGGGGAAGGAGCGAGGGAGGAAGAGGAGGGGGAGAGAGAGAGAGAGAGAGACAGAGCGAGTAAGATTGAGGCAAGGAGAGGCTTGAGGCTTGAAGGGGTAAGAAGTCCAAGAGCGCGGCCACCGTCCGCGGTTAACATGGTGGACGGTTACAGCACTGAGAAGAATACAAATGAAACCGCACAGCAGCAGCAGACGCAGCAGCAAAAGCAGTACGGACCTGCTGTGCCAGGTTGTGAGGCGCCGAGCTCAAGGGACCGGAAGCCTGATAGTTGCATCTCAAGAGAAATGAGCCGACCCAGCGTCAGAGTACTCAGGGCACAGCACGAAGGCAGGCTGTGGCCTCGGCCCAACTCGTCCCCGCAAAACGCTCAAACTGATCCATCGGATAATCAATCAAGTCTGCTGGGAATTCAGGAACTTCGGAAAAATGCGTCGCTGGGGCTAAGGCAAGTTCGCGTCAACTCCCTACCGGTGCAGGTACTAGTGGCAAAGCCGGCTAAGCCACGAACTCAACATCTCGATGACATGCTTCGGGTAGCTGCTGGACTTTAGCGCAGACGCAATCTCCTGAAAAGCAAGAGGGCGAGTCTGGCAAACCTACTTCCTTTCTGGGGACTTGCTGTCAAGTGCTGGCCCAGCACATGTCGCAATCTGATGCGACTCGAAACGGAGTGCTTGAACACTAGGTTGAAGCGAGACTTGTTTCTCCTTCTGAAGCACAGTTGCGTCTCCAAAAAAGCTTCCCTCTGCGTTTGGTTCGCTAGCTGTTTGTTGGCACGTTGAGAAAGGCTACGGTATACCAGTACGATGTGGGCGACAAGATTCAATTACTGCACAGCTCATGCCCTCGGAAGCCAAAGCTGTAGGATAAAGACAGTCTCCCTGCAGCATGCTGAGAATCGTCGGTCGCAACAAAGATCAACCACCGAATCTTGGACGAACGTGTCACCAAGTATCAAGAGAACAAGGTCAACCCAGGAACCCAAAAACCATCCGCAATACAAACCTCCCGAGCAGTGACATGAGCACGTTCGTTCCAATTGCAGCGTACAAGCGTACTTCAGCGGCTGGAATCCCCGCGTTGGCACCCCGTATCGTGACCCCCACAGGCCCGTGCTGCGCCCCTATCGTGACCCCCACCGGTGGAACCTCCCGCGCCGCACGCCTTATCGCGACCCCACCGGTGCAACCTCCGGCGCCGCGCTAGCTCGTCGTGGCCCCACCGATAGAAACTCCGCTGCACCCCGTATCGCGAGCCCTCAGCGGTGGAACCGCGCCCCGTATCGCGGCCCTTACCGGTAAAACCTCCCGCGCCGCACCACCGGTACCCAGGAGCTCAGAAACAGGGACAAATGAAGGGAGTGCAACGGGAGCAGCTTCTTGGCCGCGGCCCACCCATCCAGGAGCCCAGAAAGGAAATATGAAGGGAGCCCTTTGGGAGGGAGCCCTACGCGAGCCCAGCTTCTTGGCCGATCCGACCAGGGTAGTTTCGAAACAAGAAGGGAGCCCCTTGGCAGAACGGAGCCCAACGGGAGCCCAGCTTCTTGGCCGCGGCCCACCCATCCGACCCAGGAGCCAAGAGAGCCCGAGAAGGGGCTCCCACAAGCCTCCATTATGTTTCCTTTCCAGGCTCCTAGGTCGGATGGGCGGGCCGCGGCCAAGAAGCTGGGCTCCCGTTCAGCTCCCTTCATGTTTCCTTCTTTTTGGGTTGCTGGGTCGGATCAGTGGGCCGCGGCCAAAAATGGGAGCCGCGGCCCACCCATCCGACCCAGGCGGAGAAAGGAAAGGGAGCCCAACCGAACCCATGCAGCTCGTTGGGCGCCATAGCCAAGTATGAAGGCTAACGGGCAGCTTCTTGGCCACGGCCTACCCATCCGAGCCAGGAATGAAGGCAACATGAAGGGAGCCCAACGGGAGCCCAGCCTCTCAGACCCAGGAGCCCAGAAAGGAAACAGGAAGGGAGCCTTTTGAGCCCAGCTTCTTGCCGGCCCACCCATCCGACCCAGAAGCCCAGAGAGAAGGAAACATGAAGGGAGCCCAACGGGAGCCCAGCTTCTTGGCCGCGGCCCACCCATCCGACCCAGGACCCCAGAAAAGAAATATGAAAGGAGCCCTTTAAGGGGAGCCCTGCCACCCATCCGAACCAGGAGCCCAGAAAGAAGGAATGGCCGGCCCACCCATCCGACAAAGAAGCCCAGAAAGGAAATGAAGGGAGCTTTAGGAGAAGGGAGCCTAATTGGAGCCCAGTTTCTTGGCCTCGGCCCGCCCATCCGACACAGGAGAGCCCAGAAAGGAAACATGAAGGGAGCCCAACGCGAGCCCAGCCCCGTTGACGCAGCCCACCCATCCGACCCAGGAGCCCAAAAAGGAAACATGAACGGAGCTCAGCCCCGTTGCCGCGGCCCACCCATCCAGCCACCGCGGCCCACCTTTTTTCTGAGGAGAGAACCCCAAACCGCACCTGTTTGGGGAAACATCTGAGACACCTGAGACATCGGGAGTTCGGGCTCACCCCGGACCCCGCCTGAGACACTGAGACATCTGAGACATTGAGACAACTAAGACAACTGAGACGCCGTTAGTCTATTTAGCCTTTTGTCTCAATGTCTCAGCTGTCTCAGCGGGGTCACCTCCGGAACCGGAGCGCATCGCATCGAGAGCATCGCATAGGCGAGGATCCAGAGCATCCAGCGCATCAAAATAAGACCCGGGACTCTACTGAGACACCTGAGACATGTGAGACTCCATTAGTCTACTTAGCCTTTTGTCTCAATGTCTCAGGTGTCTCAGCGGGGTCCCCCTCCGGGGGCCGGGGAGCATCACATCGAGAGCATCGGCGGGCATCCAGAGCATCAAAACGAGGTTCGGGCTAGGGTGCGGGACGGGAACCCCAAAAAAAAAGCCAGCCCTAGCCGGCGAACCCCTACACACACTGTGCACGCAGGGACGACTCAAGGCAGCCTAGTGGGGCTAAGGGTGTGTAGGGGGTTCGGGCTCCGAGGGTTGGGGAAGCGCACGCGCAGCAAGGCACTCGCAATGCAGTGGGGCTAGGGTTCTAGGGGGGTTCGGGCTCCGAGGGTTCGGGACTTAGGGACAACCGGGAAACCCCAACATGCACTCTGCGGGCCGCGACGGCATCCTCGGATGCTCGACAGCTGCTTCGAAACATGACGACACGAGCACTCCTGCGTGGCCTCGTCTTCGGCATCGGGTCCGGCCCGCCCGCCCCCCCGGTCCCAAGAAACAAAGAGCCACTGACCAACGAGCACGAACACACACTCAGCCCTCAAGCATGCTGCGCGCACAGAACGACATGCAGACAATTGCACTCCACGGTCTTCGGTGTTTTTTTTGCGACCCCTCTCGATGCTGTGCAACGTCGGCCCCGTCGGGGCGTCCCCTGTGTGCTGGGATCATCCGAAAACTGGCCAGACCGGGCCCATGCTCCTCGGTCGCCCTCCTTGCCCCACTCACGCCCCTTTCCGCGAATTTAGGGTCTCCGTATCTATTGAAATGATGTTGCTTGTAAAACCGACTTTAAAAAAAGAAAAAGACTTTTAAACACCTGTATGCATCGAATCGAACCGACCCTAATTTCGCGGGGAGGTCCCCTAGGTATCTAAATCTGATGTTGCGGTCTGACTCTGTAGCTAAATAACCCAAGTAACCACGCAAGGAGGGGGGATCTTCCGGGCTCAGCTTGACTGCGGACTCGTGTGCTCAAAAATCGCCTAGCTGCTCCCCTGTGCACTCAAGCACGACTAAGAGCCCATTGTGAAACCGCTTCTGACCAGCTGGCATCTGTCGCTGGTCCTGTACCCGTTGCATGGCCTGCTTGACTTGAAAACTTGAACGGCGTAGCCTGCTCAAGGAATGTGAGTGTCGAACTCCTGACTGCTAATCCTGGAAGTCAAGCAAAACCGCAGCGCACAAAAAACGTCAGTGACTGCTGTTGCTACCTCAGCTGAGAAGCTCACGCAACAAGGTAGGATGCAAGTTCGCAGCGCTCAAACTCCGGCGCTGCTGCGGCACACGCATGCAACTTACAAATCGTCCGTCTTTTGTGGCAGCGTGAACCCGTAGCAATCTGACCTGCGAACGGGGCGACGGCAAAAACCCCTAAGCTGAAAAGCCATCGAAACCAAGTGCTGGGCTCAGTTGTGTCGCGCAGACTTGCTGACATCGCTGCTTCCTTCACCCAGTCCCCATCCTGCAAAGTCAAGCTGAGACGCGGCACAGGGAGGCCTAGGTCCCAGGTGGCAGAGCGGATTTGACGTGAAATGCTCTCCTGCTGGCTGTAGATGTCGATTTCATCTGCATCGCACGTCACTCGATTTGGCTTCTTCTTCTTGAGAGCCTCAAGCACTGCTCAGCGAGGGCTCACTGGAAAATGACAGCTCAGTTCCGCTTCAGCTTTGACTGTCTGATTTCATGGGTTGCAACATTGCAAACATGGGCACTCGAAACTTCTATCTTTGTCATCGCCCTTCTGCAACAACTCAGACAGGATCTCAGACAGGATGAGCGAAGTTCGGTTTGAGGGCAGCACTTCCTTCAGGTCATCCACCTGACAGCGCTCACCAAAAGCGTGGAGAAACACTCATAAACACAGAAACGCACTGAGGCAATCGATTCAGTGGCGCAGCTAAGGTCGCGGCGTCAGTTAAGGCTCCTTTGACTTTGAACGCATTGCCCGTCGGCTCAAACTCCTTGCCATCCTCGAACTTCATTTGTGGGTCGGCAACTTTTTAAAAGAGATGCGAACAAAATAAACCACCCGAACAAAATCAAACGCCCGTCTTGGAGATGCACAGTTTTCAACATGGACATGATTGAATGCACATCCAGAATCCTCCTTAGGCCCGGCGGAGAGCTGTCTGTCCTGCAAGTCCAAGCTCATCGCTGCAAACATGAACTGACAGCAAACTTACAGACTCACTCCAGCAATCCCGAGCCCAGCCCCTCCCCCACACCCCGCGCCAGGGCCCACCAAGCCCGGCCAAGAACTCACGACAGTGCTAACACCGCGTGTGCTCACAACACTGTCCTTGTTCCGGGCCAGCTCCCGCACCCAAACCACGGTGGAAGGTGCCGAGGTAGTACCTGCAGAGCCCAGCAGGACGCCAAAGGTAGGTATCCCGCTGAATAATTAAATGGAAGTTCGCAGAAGACAGACAGGACAAAACGATGACAGACAAAACAAAAAAACAACCAATACTACCACCAGACTTCACCCAGCGTCTGATCTGAGCGAGCTCTTGCAACTCGCTGATGCGAGCTCTTGAGGCCCCAGACCACCTCCACACATCCAACATGGTAGACTGGATGCGCCGGGCATCCGGATCGCGCCACTTCATGATGGCGTTCTGCACTTGCTCAAGAGTCCTGGTCAAAGAATATATAACGTAGAACGAAGTGTCAGCGACCATCTTTTCAATTCCAGACTTGAGTAGCCTTTCCAGTTTGGGATGCAACTTCCCGAGCCTCCTGACAGTTGCATTCATTGCTGCTTCGTGCTTGTCTGCAAACTCTCGCAATTCGTGGTCTGAAGGCCTGCTGTGGTAGCTGTGGCTGCCGAAGTCATGCCACGCAAACCGAAGACTCTTTCCGTGGGGTGGTCCTGATTCGCTGCCCGCTGTCACAGGTAGCACAAAGATGTTCCCCAAATGGCAATCGTGAAAGAAACGGTGTTCGACCATTTGACGCAGATCGAAGTTGTACCCCCACAGGAACATCAACAACTCCAGAACATCCAGTTTCTCCATCTGGTCAAGAACGCTGCCGAACGCTTCAGGAAAGACGTCGATTGCAAAGTCGAAGGCCGCAAAGCACAGCCGGCATGTCGTTGTCGGCTCGAACACCTGAAAAGTCAAAGGTTTCCATCGGAACTTTTCTCGCCAGGCACTCTCTGATTGCAGTTCGCTGAGAATCATGAAGCGCCGTACAGGTCGAAAGCCACCAGCAGCGTACAAGCCAACAAGCACTGCTTCCACCAGAAGTGCGGTTGTAGCAGGCATTTTCTGGGCAAGCAGCTGCGCATGGTCAAAGACTTGGTGGAAGACTGTTTCGGCCTGCGTGTAGACAACCGCAACCTCACTTGGCTTCACAAGCCCCACTCTGATGGCCATTGAACGACCACCTCTATCACAGGATGCGAAAGCAACGGTGTATCCCCCACCTCCCGAACCGCGGTCTCGATCTACTACGCAGTCTCCACCAAAACTTTCCATTTGACGGCATTCGGACTCTTTGCATGAAGACTCACCTGGAAGGAAGCGCAGTGGCAACAGCAGCCAGAACCATCTCATTGCGTGGCGTGCTATTGTTCCATGTATGGAGCTTCCTACCGCCTCTGTGCGCTTTGAGACTGCCAAGTCTCGAACTATTGAAACTTGATGCGAGCACATGTCAACATTTGTCCAAGGACGATGAGTCCAACACTTGGTGCGCAACTTGTTCGTAAAATCAAGCTGCTGAAGCCAACCGCGCAACATCGGTGGCAAGTCATGGCATGCAAGTTTCCGCACCAACGATATCACAGGTCGCTAACTTTGCGGAACTATGGGGCATCAGTGCGCCTTTCATTGCTGAGGCTGCATCCAGCTACGCCTGAAAGCAATGACCGTTCACCATCTGCTGCCCGTTCGAAGCACATCACTTCTCAACATGACCACACCAGAACCAGTGCGAAAATGCTCAAAAACCGCTCGGAGCCGGCTATGCCAGCTCCGGAGCCTGCAAGTAGTAAATTTGAACGCACGGCCGATTCGGAGAGAAGGGGTGCTACGGGGTTTGGGCGGCAAAGGATTCGCAGGGTTGGGGTGCCCTGAGCCAAAAACCTAAACCCAAAAAAAATTCATGTTACTGCGAAAGTCGGCGAGCCTAACGAGACTACTGCCACAAAGCAAACAATAATATCACCGAGGAAAAAATCCGTGAATATGCCGCCGCTCCAAGCCGCACCCCCTTGCGCCCCGACACCCAAAAAAAGAGGCGAGACAGGCGAGACATTGGGATAAACTCCCTTCTATCAGCCCGCCCCGAGACAAGCGAGACATTGAGACAAACTCCTTTCTACCAGCCCGGCCCTCCACAAAACGAGAGAGACAAGCGAGACATTGCGACAACGGCTTTGTCTCGTTGTCTCGCTTGTCTCACCAGGATCTGTCTCGCCTACAGGCCCACGGCCCCAATCTAGCCCCAATCGTGCTCATCCTGAACCCCCCGCGGATCCGGTGGACGATAGCCGCGCCCCATGGACGCCCCAAACAACGAAATCTTGAGCCAAACCTAGGGGACGCGTACCCACTAAAATCGTGCTCGTGCCACAGTCTGGCGCGAAGCGGCCCGGCAAAGCCTTTTTGGGCTTGCACGGGCCTTCTCCGGGCTGGCTGTGCCGCCTTTGAAGGCAACTGAAACAAAGGCAAAGCGCACCCCGAAAAGCGGAGGCACGGCCGGTCCGTGATGCCCGCCGTGTGTGACCCATCCTAAACCCTCCCCGACCACGTTCCGGTGCTGCTGGCACCGATTCGACAGGGAAGGTGCGATTCGGCCAAAATCGTGCTCAAAACCTAGGCGGGACGCAACGGGCAAGCGAGCGGCCTGCAATGCAGTGAACCACTTCTTGAAGAATCGCTTTCCGAACGGCGCCTGGACCTCCATCGCCGTGCTCTACAACACCCGCTTGGGCCTGCACCGTGACATTCAGAACATGCCGGGGTGCCTGAATCATGCGCTGGCTCTCGGTGATTACACCGGAGGGCGGGTGTGGATCGAAGACGACGACGGTGAGTGATTCTGCCGCACAGCTGGCCACGAAGAAAAGCGACCGGCAGCTGCGGGGACGGTGGCTGGACATGCACGATAAGCCCGTCAGCTTCGATGCTCGCCGCTATCACATGGTGGAGCCACACGAGGGCAGCATGTGGGCGCTCGCAGCTTATGTTCCGCAAGCCTATGCTCGGTCGAGGGAGCAGCACCGGCAGGCACTAAGAGAAGCCGGCTTTCCGTTGCCGTCCTGGAAGCCAGGCGGGTCAGGGGGGCAAGGGGGAGACACGCGAGACACGCGAGACAACTGAGCTGGTGGACCGGGAGGGCCGGGAGACAGCTGAGACAACTGAGACAACTGAGCTGGCGGCCGGGAGGGGCCGGGAGACAGCTGAGACAACTGAGGTGGCGGGCCGGGAGGGGCCGGGAGACAGCTGAGACTAGCTGAGACAACTGAGACAACTGAGAGAGAACCTAGTCTAAAAAGCCACAAGTCTCAATGTCTCAGCTGTCTCAATGGGTTTTTCTCTTTCTAGGGAGGGTGTTTCAGCTTTCCACTTTGTGTCAGCTACAGGCCTAGGTTCGAAACATGGGTCAGAATTCGGTACTTTCGAGCACTGTCGATTCGCGGGCCTACGGCCCGCAGCTCTAACGATCTTAGGGGCTCTGAAGTGCTTGCAAAACGGGATTTAGAGTGGCTTTAGGGGGCGCGGTACTTGCGAGCAGCTCACGAGATTCCCAGCAGCTCGCCAGCAGCTTACGAGCTTCCTTCCAGCAGCTCTTCCAGCAGCTTACGAGCTTCCTTCCAGCAGCTCACAAGCTTCCTTCCAGCAGCTCGCCAGCAGCTCACGAGCTTCCTTCCAGCAGCTCACGAGCTTCCTTCTAGCAGCTCGCCAGCAGGTGACGAGCTCACGAGATTCCTTCCAGCAGCTCGCCAGCAGCTCACGAGCTTTCTTCCAGCAGCTCAGGAGCTTCCTTCCAGCAGCTTACGAGCTTCCTTCCAGCAGCTCGCCGGCTTCGATCCCTGGCAGGCTCGCTCCCTGGCAGCTCCGGAGCCCGACGGCGCACTCCCAAACAGCTCGCGAGCCCTCCGCGCGCCCTCAAACTGCTTCCGATGCGGCGCACGCCCAGTTTGCAAGCACTTTAGAGCCCCTAAGATTACGAGCCCTACGACTGCCAGCCTTCAAAATCGACAAACCTTCCAAGTACCGAATTCTAGCCTATGTCTCGAAACTAGCCTCGTAGTTACTACAGAGTGGAGCGCTGGAACACCCTCCCTAGAGAGAGGTTTCGAAACCCAGGTTCCGGAACCCAGGTTCAACCCAGGTTTCCGAACCTGCCCTGTAAGAAAGAAATAGTTTGGAACCCGGGTAGAAGAGGGTGCCCGGCAGGAGCTCCAAGAGAAACTCCAGGCTCCAACTGTAGAGCGGTTTCCGCTGTCCTCGTCTCGCGTTTCTTTCGGCGGGCCCGGCTTCTCAACAAGCCTTGTTCCAGGGCCAGCCAACGAAGCCACCTTCCTTGATCTGGTCGGCCGTCAGCTGCTGGTCCGGGGCCGTAGACCGTCATGAGGTTGTTGGCGGCGCTGTGGGGATTCATCCGCACCCAGATCGCCTTGACCGATCTGGGTTCCGCTTTGTTGGTCCGGGAGACCTGGCCGTAGACGGTGTCCCCGAACTCGCAGCGCTTCTGGTCGAAGCGTTTCCCTCAAACGCGATCTCGTACGGGGTGCTGCAGCCCCGGTATCATGAAATCTGTTGCGCACGAATGCTGCGTGCACCTGGCTCACAACTTGAGCGGGGTGCCCAGCGCCAGCTCCCTTTTTTTTTGGCGTGGGCGGGCCTCAAAGACAGCAGTTGCTGCACTCGATCCCAGTAAGAACTACAAGAATTACACAAAGAAGCAAAGAAGAATGTACAAGAGTCTATACAAAGTGAGACAAGAGCTGCGACATACAGACTTGGTCGGCTAAATCGTTCAGCTCGAATTAAGTGCACACTGGCCCACGGATCACTGGCCCTGCTTCCCGTAAGACTTGGGTCGCGCAATGGCCACCATCAAAATTGCCCAGTTCGGTGCGCAGAAGCTTGGCCACCCAAAGGCCAGACAGGGCCAGATATAGGGGCCAATGGCCATACCAAGCGTCCGAGCGATGACTGGGCAGATCAAGAGAATTTGCTGAAAATGATTTCATGCCCAGCTTCCTGCCAGGGCCGGGCTCGCAAGGGCAGAACGCATTTGGCAAACGAACCATGATCAATGTGTGCTCCTTGCCGCACCATGGGTTGCACGCAATCCATTAGGCACATCGTCTTCCACCAGTGCCTGTCAAGGCATGCAAAATAGTCACCACAGCCCAGCTTCCCACCGAAGTGGGCCTCGCAAGGGCATAATAAGATCACACCCAAGGTAGCATAGAAAGTCGGAGGGTACAAAGTGAGCCCAGGCAGCCTCGTCACCGCACACTTGTAGAGCCCAGCTTCCCTCACATGGGTCTCGCAAGGGCAGGAAGGCTGAACCAGCTCACGCAGCCTCCTCAAGGAAAAAGAGTGGACCAATCCAACCAAACAATGAATGATTTCCAATGCCCAGCGTCCCACCGCAGTGGGGTGAACAAGGGCCAGGACAAACAGGAGCACAAAGAGCCCCTGCAAAGTGGGATCAAAGCGGTATCGGAGAAAGTAGGCGCGTAAGTGGAAGTCTGTCCAGCGGTTCCATGCTGAAGTAAGGCATCCTCCTCAAGCAAGGCCACCCTAGAGTCCAGGGCTGCATGCCAATCAGTGCCGACTGAATGGCCGAGGCGCGTAGGAAGTCCGAGCCCTCGTAGAGCTCGAGGACGCCCCGACAAACATGGCGTGACACCGACGCCAGCACCACTAAGGCCTCGATATCGATTTGGACAATTGTTGCACCCACTTGGAACCCAAGTCGCACGTACAATTGGAAGTTGGTCGCGACCCGGTATCCAACGAAGGTACGTTGCCCCAAATATGCGGTGACACGGCGCTGGTACTCCACCAACTGCTGCCGAAAGGCGAGGCCAGCAGCCTTACGCTCCTGCGTGCCAATGGCGCACAATAGCTGCCGAGTGGCAGCTGTCGGAGGCGCCCCAAATAGCACTGACAGCGACTGCACCGAAACATACGTAACGACTTGTGCTACAATATCCACCGATATCGTGGCCATGGCCGGTCACCTACCCTGTGCTACAAGGACTGACGCTGCCTCGAGGATAAAATCGAGCTGCCTATCCTTATGTGGGGGCTTGCAAGCTAACTCTAGGAATCCTTAAATTAATTAAATTAGGATTTGAATAGGAAATGAATAGGAAATGGAGAATTTGAAAAATAGGAAATGAATAGGA